TGTGTGGCTTTGCTATTATTTGGTTCATCATAATGGTTCCAGTTGCTGGAAGACCCTTTGAGAAGTTTGCAGAACTAATTCCTCATCATTTCCCTGTAACTTCACTTTTGATTATTTTTAGTCTAGAAGACTCTTAGAAAGCCAACATAGGCCATGTGTGCTGATATTCTGAAGAAAGTCCTTATTCATGTGTGTCACTTTCTACTTCAATCATATTCAAAATAAATGAGAAAATAAACAATTAAATAAGTAAAAATAAATAAAGTCTTAATTTCTTGGGCAATAGTGTTTGGGGACCCCCCTGCAGTTTGCAGCCATTTTTGGTTTTCAGTTGAAGTAACAAGCAATAGACTGAAACCAGAAATGGATAACTTCTGGTTATTAAATGTATTTTTTTTTTATTTGACCTCTTCTTGGGTTAATGTGATTCATTAATCGCTAATCTGCACATTTTTCCATTTTTTTGAATTTGGTCACTGCTGGACATGCTGTGAAATTTTAATAAAAAAATAAATGAATGAAACAAAATGATAAGGTGTTAATTTTGGCCTAAATAGGTAGAAAATCACATAAACACTGAAATTGCAAGGCAAATTTTCTTCTTCAGTTCTCAGGAGAATATGCAGATTTCCAGTTTTTAAGGATTTAATTGACCGATTACATTTACTATAAAATAAACACAAAAAGAATACTTTCCAGAAAACACATACTGTAGTTTTAGTTCAATGTGTGCTGAAATGGAAACCTGTTACCATTTAAACCTCTGAATCCAAGCACTGAGCACCCACTGTTCCTGAAGTGATGCTTCCACAATGCAGTTTATTTTTGTTTTCAGGCCAGAAAACCAAAACTTTCCCTTTCGGTGCTGGCAGAGTCAGAGAATAGTTTGGTTTCTTGGTTTCCTCAATGAAACAGAGAGAGAAGTCCGAGTTGGAGAACAAAGCAGAGAGGCCATATCCCTAAAACAGAGGTGGCTCTACTCTTCTGCCCACTTTGTCCTTTTGGTCCTTTTCCTCCTTTTCCTCCCATCTCACAGCTTTCTCCCTTGGTCCCGTTGTAGCACTGGCACTTGAAGTGCTGACGGAAGGCCTTCAGCTCTGCTTGGCCTGGGGATCCTGTGACCTTCAGCTTTCCGCTCTGACTTATGATCTTGTGAGTGGTGGGGCTGAGGTGCAGAAACACGGCGCTGTCCGGTGCTCGGCGAAGACAGCGACCGTTAAATTTGCACAATTTCTGGCTGCACTCCTTTGCTGCTGTGGTCACATTGAGGAGGTACCGTCCCATTGGTCCCCGAAAATAGTTATTCAAGTCAGAACAGCCGCTCTGCAGCACGGAGGATAGATATTAACTTAAAAATACATAACAGCAGCATATACAACATGAGAGGACTAGGGAAAGTAATTCTCTTACACTAGTTGCATAGGAGAAATCCCCCCAGAAGATCACTCCTGCAGCTCCCAATGCAACGCTCTCGCCAATGGTAGAGACCAAATCTTTCTGCAAAGGATGTATATGAATACTTTAGTTGTATAAGACGTATTATAGAGAAACTTTGCTCATTACATATAGAGCTTTTGTTCTATATGTAACTACAGCCCAGAATTAAAAATATGATGTTTAATGCTGTATAATCAATAATAGCTATTTTAAGGCCAAAAACATGAAAATAACATGAGTAATTATCATGTTTTATATCAATGAGTTGGAAAAAAAACTAATCTGGTGAAGGGTTACCTTGAGTTCCCACCAAATTAACATAATTACATATAAAATGTCTGAACAACAGGAGCGGATTGGAACAGAAGCCAAATTCTTTGAAGTGCACACACCTGGCCAGTAAACTTCATTCAGCAGGTGTAAATTAACTATTTAACTCTTCAATGGGATCTGAGCTTAACTATGTGTTTTTTATTTTTAATTGACAGACTGCTGGACTTCACCAGGTGACAGTTACTTCTTTACCATTTCATATTTTTTCACATTCTCCCTCATAACATCAATTTATATCCCCACGGGGCGTTTTGTTGAATTAGCAAGGAAGTAAATGGACTCAGACCTGAACTTTGTAGATACCAATGAGGTTTTATATTTTTGAAATTTCAGCCTCAGTTTGTCATGTAGCATGCTGGATTTACACAATCAGAGAAACTTTTGGAAATCTCAGTTTAGGAAAGAAAGCACATTCTCTAGAAATACACACCAAATTTAGCTTTTTTATAGTAAAGTCCAAGCTTAATGAGCTAACTGAAAATATAAAATGTTACGGGCAACATTAAACAACAAAAATCTGTATCTGGTAGGTCATAGTTTTACAAAAAGTGTAACTCTCCTCCTGGAGCTGCTGCCTAGTGGCTGGTGCAGAGCGCGGCAGGTGTATTTATATGGGTGGAGCAGAGACATGTAGAGGGAACATATCGGGCTGCATTAGCTGATGAATAGATTAGGTTTACGGACGAACAGGAAAATCAATTTCCTACCATCCCGGTCACAATAGATGGTTGGCGTGAGTTTCTCTGTGTGTGATGAAGGTGCCACACAGAGAAATTGACACAAAAGTTTTAAATGGCTGGGAAAAGTGGGAGTTAATCTATAAAACTGGCTGAATATCAAAATATAGACTACTCCTTTATTATTACATTGAAAATAATAAAAAAAATGTATAATTGTTATCCCGGTTAACTTAAAAAGTGAGGTGCTACTGTTACAGGCTAATTTTCAAGGCTACACAAAAGTAAATGTTAAGGCTCCACACATATGAAAATGTGGGACGATGTGAATGTCCGATATTATTACTGCTAGTCCAACAGTATTTACCAATAATTTGTTCTAATTTTTTATCGGATTGCTTGATTAATCATAAGAATAATTGAAAGATTACTTGATTACTAAAATAACAGTTTCCAACAGCACTATTTCCTCCAATCAACCAACCTCAGTTAAAAGGGTCATCTCACTATTGTAAGTGGGTCGGCTATAAACAAAAACAGGACGTGCCAATCCATCCCCAACAGATGCAAGGCGCATTGCCTCCTTCAGCCTGTTCAGGACAAACAGGCGTCCCTGATCAGTGGAGCGCAGGTCAGAACCCATATATATGGAGGGAAAAAGGGCGGTGCTTTCATTCCACAGCCAGTTCAGTTCATCATTGCGCTCAATCTCAACATCAGGACAACGTCCTGTGTAGCTTTCCATTTTCCCTTTGTAGTCATGGTTGTAACAATCAGGAAACAGGTAGAAGCCCCACAGCTGATTCGGTCTCAAATTTTTACCCTGTCTCAGGGTCTCCTGCATGAATTGACGAGCCGCAAATTCAAATTCTTCTTTTGCAGCAGTCGCCACTTGCCCTTGAGTCAATGTAGAGTTCTTTTTGGCCAACAGCTCACGTGATCTCCTTCTATAGATATCTTTGCCAGACCAGTTTCAAACCCACAAGGGGCGCCATTCCTCCCAGTCAATGACAGACAGACCTTTAGCCTGGCGGTCTGGTATGTATGTATCTAGATCCTTTGACATTCTTTCAAAGTGCTGAGAGAGATTGACACGTTGGGGAATGCCCCCAATCACTTGTACGCCTTCAGTGTACAAGTGAAGGCGTACAAGTGATTCAAGCAAAGTTGAATCAGATACTGCATTGAATCGACCCGAGGGACAGCAGAACAAAACAGAAACAAAAAAAAAAAAAACTGATGCAAATCTTTTTAAGAAATTAATGCTCAAAACAAAACATCCCAGTTCCATTTCCTGTTTCAAAAATAAACAATCTTTCTTCTAGTTTAAATCATGAATTGTTATTAAATTGTAATTATAATTAGAACACTAACTTCCAACGTCTGTCTAGAAAACTTCATTAACTAATAATTAATTTATTACCTATAAAATATTTTACTATTCCTAATAGGAATGTGCGATATTTATTTATGTGGCCGTAACGATATGCATAACAATATTTTCTGGTGTAAAGTTTACAATAGAAATGAAAAACATAACATACTAATTGTATATTTGCAAACATTAAAACCTTTTTTAGGTTTCATTTTTAGATGGTAAAACAAAACAATAGCATTTCCTTCCTTTGCAGCACTGCAACAGGGAGATTCCAGTTGACATTTGCAGATTACATTTTCCTGCTCCTGGTCTGACTGTTTAACCCTCCGCAGTCTTAAGAGATGAGGTCACTGGGCCATTTAGACCCCACAAGTTTATTACTCTGTACACTGTCTGGTGGGGTCACGCTGTTCCTGTGTGCGCCTATACATGTTTTTTGTTTGTTTGTGATGGGACAACCTTTTCTTTAACAGATGAAGTCAGATGGATGGGTCCATTCCACCATGGATGATTGTGGATGAAGCCAAGTCCTGTATAAATTTGTTCAGTCGAGCCAAAATAACTTTGAAAACTACAACCCTACCCTGATACCTGTTAGCCAATTAGCCCAGTCTATTGTCCCAGCACTCCCAGTATTCAGTCACATCTCTCTTATTCCTTGCTGGTTCCTCCTGTTATGTCCATGTTGTCTTTAGTTCCTGGATCCCAATGGTTTTTGTTCTGCTCTGGCTCCCTGCATTCCCACTGATTTTTTG